AAGACAACACGCCAGATGTTTGAGATGCACACTGGCATCACTGATGTTTTTACACATTTGGATAATGATATATCAAGACGATGAGTGGAATTTGAACTATTTCCCACCAAAACTGTAATAATGTGTTTATTCTGATTCAGTTGGCTTCAATTTCCTTTTGCGCTCAGTGTCAAGCATCAGGTCCCAGATTTCAGGTCCATCAAAAACATCTTCCTTAATTGTGGTTTCACTTTTCTCAGGACTAAACTTATTTCTTAAATGCTGAAGTGCTGTTTCTGTCCAGTTATCCTCATTGTGTAATACTTGGAACATCATCAAAGTTGGCACAGGTGAAAACATTGCAGTAGCAAACTGCTTGTTTACCACTGTTACTGATGTGTTTGTACTGTGTATGTGTTAAAAAGTGCAATAAATGTTCTCAGGGAAGCATCGTGTTCTGTTGAAGAGCTTAATTTGCAAACTTTCATATCTACACATTTAAATGGAAAAACTGACTTGACCTACGTCAAGTACGTTACACATTTTTGTTTATCATCTCCATCCACTGCCATGCCTCAAAATGCCTGTGTGTACCTTTTGAAGGGGTGAAACAGAAACGTGCACCATTTCATCGAGATTTTAAGATGCAAGATTTACAAGTGCCATCCATCCATCCATCCATCCATCCATCTTCTTCTTATCCAGGGCCAGCAGAGAAGCCCAGACCTCCCTCTCCCCAGCCACCTCCTCCAGCTTGTCCAGGGGAACACCGCGGCGTTCCCAGACAAGCCGAGAGATTTAATTTTTCCAGCATGTCCCAGGTCTGCCCCGAGGCCTCCTCTCGGTGGGACATGTCCGGAACGACTCACCCAGGAGACGCCCAGGAGGCATCCTTGTCAGATGCCTGAACCACCTCAACTGGCTCCTTTCGATGTGAAGGAGCAGCTCTCTACTCTCTCTCTTCACCGCAACAGACCGATACAGAGTCTGCATCGCTGCAGCCACAGCACCAATCCCTCTGTCGATCTCCTGTTCCCTTCTCCCGTCACTCGTGAACAGAGATGGGCAGTAATGCGTTACTGTAATCCGATTACTTTTTCAAGTAACGAGTAAAGTAAGGGATTACTATTGGAAAAAGAGTAATTAGATTACTGTTACTTTCCGGTAAGCACGCTGCGTTACTGTGTTACTAAAACCGTGATTTTTTGAGAAGGGTCTGTCTGCAGCCACTGGGGAGCGCCATATTGGGACCTCCACACTAACCGGAAACACGTGACCTCCACAGCAGGCAGAAATACGTTCCTGCATGGATCATCGACTGTGGAAACCTTGCAAGTGGATCGTAACAGTGGCGTGTCTAGAAAATTTTTGTTGGGGGGGCACACATTTGGAGAAGGGTGGCAGATGTAATTGGCAGATAATGTTAAAAAAAAATTCTACCAACCGTTAACCATAATTCAATAACCCTATAAACCTAATAACCGAATGCGCTTTTAACTCTTATTAGAATGAGATTTTAACCACTACAGTGCAAAGTTTTTAGATACTGTGTTGATAAAGTACAAGAGATACAATCAGTCAGTGTTTATT